TCGCGTACACCCTAAGTTTGCCCAGGGATCATGCAGTGTTAAAAACTCCTCTGTTTGCCGGCGAGGCGAGCTGCGAGGGTGGCTTGGATCGTTATTTCAGAGTGTTTGTCGTGTTTTAAGATTCTGACGTTTTGACTGGCCGAATCGCGGCGGAACGGAGCGAGGCGCGCAACTTGGATCGACGGTCGAGCTGGATCGCTTCCCGTCGGCCGGAAGTCACCTCGCTGCCGTCGTACTTTGAATGTTTTATACTCAACAGAGTCAACCATTAATTTGTTTACTTTCTCAAGCTGTAATAGAACAAATGCGGAGGTATAGAAAATATAAACTTCTTTAGTGTACTTGGAACTCGTATTTGAAGCCGGTAATTGCTTGGAGAACGTTAGGTCTTAGTTATCGATGGATTATTAACCCTTAGCACTTCAGGTTGTTTTTATAGTAATCATTTTAATAATTTTTATAGTATTCCTAGCGAAAATGAGAAATATAACATTTCTACAATTTTTCATTTTCCTTCTTAGTAGAAAATTTGGATGTGTGGAGAATCTAATAATTTTAGGGTAGTTCCTTTAAGATTCATCAAAATATTTAATATTATAACTGGTGCAATATTAGAGCCTACAGAGTTGAGGGTTGACATTAAAGCTAACAGAATCAACCATTAATTTGTTTACTTTCTCAAGCTGTAATAGAACAAATGCGGAAGTATAGAAAATTTAAACTTTTTTAGTGTATTTGGAAAACGTATTTGCAGCCGTTAATTGCTTAGAGAACTTTGGATCTTAGTTATCGACAGATTATTAACACTAAAACTACCAAACTAGCCAAAACGACTCATTCCTGACTTTATTTTGCAGTTATTAGAAATATAACGAAGGGTTCTCTGGGAAATTATTAAAGATACTGATTCGGCAATACTGACTGAATTACAAATCAATTAATCTCTCGATGGATACACTCTTGAAGTCGATAGATGAATTTCAAAAAGTCAGTTTAACTGCTCGGTAGCTTCACTATAAATACCAGAACTAGCATTTAATACGATTAACATGTAATCCCTATAAAAATTGTAACAATAGAGTATCTCCTTTTTCTTCAAACATTCATTATAATATTTACACATAACTACTTATTTCCAGGATCACTTCGAACATTCAATACTCTTAAGATACTAATAATTACAAATCGAGGTCAATCAGTTTGACTTTCTAATGTTAATATGATAATTCTTCGTTTCAAAGCAAATACGTAGAAACCACGAGTAAAATCAATTTTCCATAAGTCACAGCTTTTTGCTAGATTAATTTCAAGGCGACGAGAGAGACGTTGCAAACTTAATGTCTCCCATTCAGAACATTCAATAAAGAGGGTACCAGCGAGTCGTTTTGAAAATTCGCAAATCATTTGAGAAATTACAGGAGATACAGACTTAGCGCCGGGCACGGGGAACGAATAAATTTTCGGGCGCAGATTGATGCCTGGAAAGCCGCCGTTTAACACGCAACGAATTACGATTTCGGCGAGCGTAGGCAGGTGGAGGGCAACAGACCTCAAGGGGGAGGATCGTTCTTCCAGCGAGTTACACATAATGCCTCATAAACACCCTCAAAACGCCTGCTATCACCCTCGATTCGCGCCCGTACCGCCATCACGGATCTGACACCGCACCGGCAATAAACTTTGCCCTCGTTAGCCCTACGCGTTCGCCCTTCGAACCTCTCTGTCTCGTTTCCAGCATTTTCCCGCAATTTCGTGTCACACGTTCTTTTCAGCGGAACGCAAAAAAACAGCGCGCACATTAAACATTTTAAAATACTCTTCTGTCGCAGGATGAATAGATTGTCGCATTGATCATTGTTCTTAGTTTTCTTTATATGTTTGAATATTGAGTAAATTCTAGCTGAAACTTCCTTTGGAAGATTGAAGAATGTTAACTCTAGTTGTTGCAAGATAAATTGGTGCCTCCGTTTTTGGTGAAGTAACTTCAAAATCTGTTTTTTTAGTGACAAAGTGGAATCTATCTTTTATAGAGGAGCATCATTGTAAATACTGGAATAGTTGGCAAATAGTAAAAATATTTTAAAATTGCTCGGAGTATCGATCTTATTGGTATCTTCGATAGAATCTCGCTACGAATGAAGTGTAACTTTCTTCTTTCATTTAGGAATATTTTATATAAAGTTACGTTTCATGTAAAATATTACATTTTAAATATTCGAGCAAATAGTAGAAATGACTCGGTGTTGGAAGATGAACAAATTGCTCGGAGTGTTGATCTTATCGGTATCTTCGATAGAATCTCACTACGAATGAAGTGTAACGTTCTTCTTTTATTTAGAAATACTTTATATAAAATACATTTAAACTGATCTTTCTCTTTCGATAACAGTGAATATTTTATAATCAAGCCGCCGTGAAAGGCAAACGGAAACATTAGGGGACTATTAGAACTCGAAAGTGAAGCATTTTATCGCATAATTGAAGACATGTATTTTCTTCTCTTTTAAAATATTCTATTTTATTTTATATAGAATATTTCATCTAAACTGATCTTTCTCTTTCGATAACCGTGAATATTTTATAATCAAGCTACCGTGAAAGGCAAACGGAAATATTAGGGGACTATTAGAACTCGAAAGTGAAGCATTTTATCGCATAATTGAAGAGACGTGTTTTCTTCTCGTAAAATCTTCTTCCATCCGAGCGGGTCCATAGAAATTCCTCGAAAGTTTCCAGCATCAATCCAGAAAGGTGCACGCGATAGAGCTCGTTCCGCTCGGCTGCGGCACGGTGTCGGTGCCGGAATATTTCGCTGGACGATGGCGGTAAGCCGGTTAAATGTCGTGGTTCACCGTAAAAACGCGGTCGTTTGCCGTCCAAGCCGCGCCACCATAAAATAAAACTACGCAAACCGCGTGCATATACGCACTCCGACCCCATTATAAGCCGTATAACTTCACGGCCGTAGCGCGAGAACGCGCCTAAGTGCCGGCTCTCGTTTTACCGTCGTCATTTTTCACCCGCGTTTCAAGAATTCTTTGACTCGCCGCCACGCGAAAAATCGATACGATCCATCCGCGAGCTGAAACCGCGGACCGCTTTACATGGAAACAGAAAACCGAACGATATCGTAAACCTCGGATCAGTTTTTTTATTCCTCGACGGCCAGTTCCGCGTGGAACTTTCGACTACTTTCGAACTTCCGACCGCACCTCCTCTTTATTCCTCATTTTCTCGAACCTACTAGCCTACTCTAGTATCACACACAAAACTATGTCCGACACATTGCTAAAACCAATTACACATCACTTCGATAGCAGATTTTACTTCTATATCTAACTAGAAGCACGCAATTAATCTTCGAAATCTCTATCAATACTTCTTCAACGCTCCCAAATGCCGATCCAACAATTCAGAAAAACAATTAGAAGCTCAATTATTAATTACGATAACCAAACCTTCCCAATTGCTTAGAAACAGTTATAACCATAAAACACAATCGTTAAATTAAAGTATCTAGTAATCTAAGTAATAAGAACTCTACCAAGAACTTACCAATAATTAATCCCAAAGATATTCGTATTCAATAATAACCATTATTATACTAAACCGTCAAAACTCTCGTTATCATATTAATTATCAAAGTATTTACCAAAAACCCCACGAATTCCACTTCTAAAAGTCAACCGCCGCTTCCAATCGTGGCCAGAAAATTTGCAGATCCGGAGGGAGCATTGAAATCGTTTCGCCCCGTCGATCAGGGAGCAGTGAGCATCTCGACGATCGTTCGGCAAAAATATCGCGAGGGATCGAGGCCGGCGGGACGAAAGGTGGAACGACGAAATCGCGCGTGACAAGCGGCTCGCGTATATTTCTACGCGGGCAGGGGCTGCGCCGCGCCGTTTAGCGTCCCCGACATTAACATATTCCGGCCGATCCAGGCCAAACATCGACGCGGCGGCGCCGCTCGTTCACCCCCTTACTTCCGGCACATTTGTGTTTTGTTTCCAGCGAGCGCACCCCGCGCGCATTGCCCTCCCGCCGCCGTTTCGCTCGCGCGAACAGTTGGCCGCGTTTTCTCGCGGGGGAAAGGGAGAAGACATTTAGTCGAAAGCGATTGCTGGGGCGGCCGTCGACGGGGGAGGGGGATGTTTGCCCGTGCAACACCCGAGGACTTTCTGTTTCTCTATTGATTCATCCCTCGAAACAAATTCCATTTGCGGAGAACCATCGTTCCCGGCGCGGAACGCCAGGAATCGCGAGGAATCGGCGGCGTTTATTTATACTGAAGAGATTTTCGGCTGGTCGTTGAAACCGGGGACGCAGGAAGAGATCTAATAGAAATTTGTGTAGTGTTCTCTTTTTTTTTTGGATGTTTGTTAAACTTGAATCAGTTTTACGGGGCGTGGAGTAGATTATTCTATATTGAGGTTAAATTGTTTTATCGACGTTAAGTAATTTAATTCACTTTGATATAATTAATAGTGCTGTTTGTAGTTTCTTAAGGTAGTTCAGTATCTAGATTCAATGCAGAATGTGAATAGAATTCGAGATACAAATTGCTATCCATCACAGAGTGGGATAATTATGATCATCCAAGTCAAAATTTAAGACAAATGAGTTTATCAGTTATTTCACGTTTCATTATTTTAGACTAAATTAAAATAATTCAGTCTTAGAGCACTTTTATAATTATGGGCGCAATTAGTCTTCGTTAGCAGTTCCCTCGACCCCTCTGATTGCGATCCAACGTTCCGTCCATAGTTTTCGCCAAGCGAGCGTCTCAGCGGCCAGGGGCGGATTGATTCTGAATAATGGAGAGCCGCGAAACCGAGAAAACTCGGTTCGCCCGCCTTTATGGTTTCTAATATCGGAACCGGCCGCTAGAAAACGAGCTTCCACCCCGATGCGAAGCACCTGGCCTTTTCGTTTTACCACCGGGTGATAATTCCGAGCCGCGCACCATCCCACGTTCCTCTGACATCTCGTTCTTTTTCCAGGGAAAAGTTTCACCCTGACTATCATGCTGCAGACGTCACCACCCCAGGTCGCCACCCTATCCAAGGCGATCAAGGTCACCGTCGACGGACCCAGGGAACCCAGGTCCAAGACAAGTGAGTGTCCAGTGTTTTACCAGCTGTAGGTAACTCGGGCTGTAACGAGCATCCCCTAATACTTTAATTAGCCCTCTATGGGTCCATGTAACTTTGAAGTCACGTATCAGTATATTGGCATCTTGTCGATCTATTTCATTTTGCACTCAAAGTGGCGAATAAAATGAAGTAATCGGTTAACCGCAATTAACGTCACTGTAACTTGAAAGTTACGAAATATATTCGTTTGATGAAATTATGGAAACTATTGAATACATTGTTAATTCGTGTGTATATGTGGATATTTATTAATTTTCTACTGCATAGATTTTGTTATAATCGCGAACAAAAATTCGTCTCATAGAGGGTTAATCCCAGTTAAATTCTGGGGGTGCAGGGAAATTGTGAAAAATTCTTGTGAAATTTTCCATGACAGTTTCGATTGTATTCCGAGTAACTATAATAGTAGCCTAATTCAAACTTTAAATTAAAAGTCTATCGAGAGGAAATAGAAATGATACTCAGACTTGTTAAGAATTCTTGCTATAACTTTGAAAGCATTACAATTAAAATCCTCTCTATCTTTCTATTCAACTATTACACTACTCGAATCAAATCAATAGTCCTCCTAACAGTTTCTCATAAAGTATCATTAAACCTTAATGAACCAATACCACTTTACTTACTAGGTTCAATGCCACGTATATGGCAATAATCATTTTCCTATTTTCATCACAATAATTATTAATAATTACAATTAACACGTTAATCTAATCAAATGTTACACTAATCATATGTTATATCTATATTTCCTTTTAAGTATAATAGCTGATTATAGAGGAATAATATTTACTTCGAATTCGAATGAACCGAGTACTATATATATTTGTTGAATCATGCTGGAAATCTTCACCACGAGTCTCACTCGTCATAGAAGGAGTTAACCAGTTAAGTGTGGAATTTAGTTTGAAAAATCTCTGCTTTTGCGCGCAATAAAATCAAATAATGAAGTGTATACTCGTTAAATGCAGGCCAAATGCATTTACAATATATTCTAACGGGAAACTAAAGCGAAACGAAGAATTACATGTTTGTCTCAAAAAATAAGTAATTCATTGTTGAAAAAGTTAGCATCACTAAGACTTTCAAGATGACGTATATACTCGTCAAACACAGTTAACACGTTCCGTGCTACGGAAACTTCGGCTATCTTTGCTTATGACCTGTATTGATTTTTTAAGTAAAATAATATGTTATACACAGGTATTTGATGACTGTTTTGTAATTTGATATTGTTTCTTTGTGTTCTCTGTCTTTTAACATATATCACTATCCGTGACTATCCATTAAAAATATTTTCTTACAAAAATTGTCGTGTACCATAGGTGGTACACGTGGCACGGAACGTGACTGGTTAAACAGCTTCATCGAAAAACAGAACACCATCGAATGTTTCCACTGATTCACTCGATCCTCACGTTCCAGGGCACCAGGCCTTTCACCCGTTCCATTTCGGGCCCAGGCCGTTCCCGTTCGGTCATCCCCAGGACCCGCTGGGATTCAAGCTGTCCGGTAAGTGTCCCGGTGTCCCTCGGGTAGAACTGACGAAAACCCCCCGTTCCTTCCCCCGTCCACCTGGCGTTCGAGGCGTATCTCACCTTCGGTTTCCTACGATGTATCCCCGAGTCGTCGGATAACTAAGTTTGCAACCCCTCCCGCGTCCTCGCAGCCGCCCGCGAAGCCAAGGCCGCCTTTCACGTCCTCGCCCCGGGGTCGCGCGCGCGCCGGCTTCGTGGCTACGAAGGGTGTCAAAATTGAGCGTCGGCAGGCACCGACTCAAAATTGAGTTTTGCCACCGGGCGTCTAAGTGGAGAAGACTCTGATTAAACCCCGGACGGGCGGCTCCGCCTTTTCGTTTGCCGACGCCTCTACTTACGCTCACTCTTCGCGGAAACTTTGGCCGCCGTTTGACGAGCGAGCGAGCGAGCGACCTGGCGCTCGAAATTCCGCACCCCTGACGCCTCGGGGCCATCGACGTGCGTGGATTTTAGCTACCGACGGCTGTGAAGCTTCGGGACTGCCTATTGTAGAATATTTTTTACGGTGTAATGGAAATATTTGTACTGGGAAGTTGGAGGTTGGAACTAATGAATTGTGGATATAGAAGGATTTTCTTTGGTTTCTCTGGAGATTTTTGGGATAATTAGAATGGTTTGTTGGATGTTGGAGAGGGTATAGAATGATTGTATAGGTGTTAGTAATGCAGGGAAGCTTCTGACAATAGAATAATAGCTCTCAAAGGATATTTTTATTGTACGTTGGGATTATGGTCGACCCGTACTACTTACTCCACTGAAAATCAACCTTCTAATCAAACTTCTTCAAACACGAGTAGATTAAACTACAGTCCAAGATCTCCATAACACTCTTCCACTGACAAGCAACTATCCGCGTCGTCCAAATTCAATCCGTCAAATGTTCAGCACGTCGCAACCATCACTCAGTCGCTCAGTCATCCGAAATACTCAAATTTCAAATTTCCCCGGCGCAAATCCAAGAGCCAAAAACCATAGGCGGAAGGTTTCTATTTCTATCAAATCACGGTAACCGACTGTCGTCGTCGCCCGGGCGAATTTCCGAAGGGTTTTTCCGTAGCATCGACAGGCTAGTTCGGCGGCACGGATTCCAATTCAAATTCGTTCGAAGCTCGAAATTTTGATGGGACTAGTCTCGAGCAGCCGGAGGGTCGGGTACTGATACTGGTGCACCGACAGTGTATTGTTTCGGCATGATAAGCGGCTTAACGGAGCTTCTCTCCCTGCCTGCCCGCGCTCCTCCTCTCCTCTTCCTCCTCTGGCTAGGGGGGTAGTGTGGAGTAGCAGTCCTGCCGTCGATTTCTCGTCCCATCCCACCGGCCACCCCCTTTTTCCGACCGCCCGCCCCACACCCTCGCTCCCCCTTCTCGCTGCCTCATCCCCGCGGTCTACTCAATCAAGGACCAACCGGTTCTCCCGGT